TCAAATGTGCACATATCCATTAAAAAGAAAGGTTACAAGAATATTACGTCATCCTATACCTGTGTTTTGCAAAGCCCGGCACAGGCAGTGGTGTCAATTGTGATGCAGCTGCCACATTCCTCACTTTCCAAGGTAATGGAGATATTGGTGAGCTGACAGCTGGACCTGCATTCTGATCCTGCCCTCATTAGCGCTGGCAACAGCATCACCATAACAACGAAGCGCATCCTCATCTGGGAATCAATGCGAAGGTGTGCAGCTAATCAAATACAGGTACTGCAGTGGGTAAATTATTAGCATTGCATTTTGTATCTATCTTGGGCTTTATTGCTTAAAATTTTTTTTTAAAGAAAATCACTATTGAGAGTACAATCTAACCCAGACCACACTAAACCAGCTCACATAGCCTGCATATAAACAAAAAGTTGGCTAAATTATTATTAGTTGAGCAACTAAGATGAATACATTTAAATTTGGTTTAGGAAAAGCAACTATCAAACACATTGAAACTGAAGTCAAATTACTAATATACAGTTCATGCTAATATAAATATAATTGCTAAAATACTAATATAAAGTTCATGTCAGTCCTACCTGCTGGAGTTCCGCTGAGACAAAATCCTTTCACCTCAGTTCACGTGGACACTTATACCCTCCTGTCAGACGTGACGCCCACATCTAGTTGAGAGCAGCCATGTCTTATCAAACTACTGCATTTGATTTTGTGGAGGTGGCACAAATCCCCGAAAGCCCTGTGGCCATGGCATTCAGTCTGAAAGAGGCTTAGACAGAAGAGGATCCATGTAAAGGCCACCACTGATGTTCTGCTTTTCAAGGTCAGTGTTCTGCAGCACAATTCCTGGATTGAAAATCACTGGAACAGCAGCTTGCCGTCTCTAAGAGATCAACACATGGTTGCTTCAACAATTAATTTCTGCAGGATATTTTAAAGAATATTTCACAAAAATCAGTCAGTTTTTAGTCTCCACAGCATCTGTTCAGTTTTTACCTGGCTAACTTTTGAAACAGTCTCTCATAACAGATGGAGGTGGTTTTTTTTGTTTTTTTTACCACTAGATCTATCTATTGATATTTGAAAATGATATTGGGATTGAGATGCTTATGGGCTTTGAAAAATGTAATGGATAATGTGATGCAATAAATTGATAAAATGTGACAGATCAAAGACATTTAGAATTTTAGATTTTTAATATACTTTTTAATTTAAGAAATCTCTGTTTCAAATGAAAGCTGTTCTTTTACAATTTCCATTGTAATGGTTTTTAATCCTGAAAAACATGTATTATGAATATTATGCGGCAAAACTCTTTTTTTTCTCAGTTTTGATGACAATAAGAATCATTATTAGCAACTGAGGACCAAATCAGCATATTAAAAATAATTTCTGAAGAATCATGTGACACTGAAGACTGGAGTGATGGCTGCTGCTTTGCCATCAACAGCAGCATTTATTTGAAACTGAAATCTCATAAATTAAAAATGATCTCATTGCTCTTTTGTTGATTTTGATTGCTTCCATTGTCCTCATTTGTAAGTCGCTTTGGATAAAAGCGTCTGCTAAATGACTATATGTAAACGTAAAAATATAAAAACCCCCTTAAAATTCGAAATGTTTACTGTCGCTTTTGATCTGTTTAATGCATCCTTCACCAATTTAATGCATGAAACCACCCATTACTCTTTTCAAAGCTCGTGAGCATTTCAATCTCCATTTAATTTTCAAATACAAATGTCAAAAGATATATCTAGCGGTTTGCATAAAGACTTATTTCAAACATAAAAATCATACTGACCCCAAACTTCTGAACATTTTATATACAGTATATAATCTTCGAAACGGTCCTCTGTAAAAATAACTATTCTAGCATTCATTCCATTTAGCAGCACGCCTAGCCATTATTGCCTTGACCATTATCTGTTTTAAAGTTATACAGTGCCCTGGATTTTCATTTTGATTCTGTTCATTTTCTTTAACAGATCTCAGTCTGGCTCTACGGCTTTTCATCTCCAGCTCAACCTTGACAAAACGAAGCTCTTTTTTCTTTCAGCCGCCCCCAGTCTCTTTCCATCGCTTTTGAAGGTTGTACAGTCATTGACTCCTGATGTGTCCAAATCTTGGAAATGGTCCAAGATGACCCACTGACCTTCATTTATCATGCCGTGACAAGTGCCCTATCCGAACAAGGCTTTTTAATGTAGAGAAAATCTGCCTTTTCACTCCCATCAGTGCATCCAAAATGCTTCTGTCTGACTCTATATATCCAGTAATTCTCACATTTACTCATGTCTCAATGTACTTCTCATTGCTGCACAGTCATATTCAGGACCCCTTCCTGGCCTACAATGCAGTCAGCACCATTATTCTAATAACTACAAGTCATTATCCAATCGCACACCCACGACCTTCACACTACAGTCAGAATCTTTACTCCCTACACCTATAAAGCAGCTATCCTGTGTGCTTGCCCACAATGACTAAATGTTGTCTTGTGAAATACTGCCCCCTTTTATTCTGTATAGTGCCAGCTGCAGACTCTATACAGAATAGACACGCGTAGAAAAAACTTAAGCCAAGTCCAAAACAAGCTACTAAGGTGGGGTACTTGAATAATAAAACAGCAAGAAGTCAATTTGTCAAGAGAGTAAAGGTTGGTCAATGCAAACTGTTTTAACAAGAGCAAACACAATGTCTGCTGCATAACTAATGAGCTGGATCAAACAGCACAATCATTCTGATAGCACACACACATTTCCCCTTCTACAGCAGAGTATGTGAGACATGAGTTTTGTTGAGCGTTTCTCTGTCATGCGAAATACAATATATGTTTTCCAGGTGATAAATATAAAGCATTCGTGGCTTAAACACAGTGCTGCTGACGAAACTAGTTTTCTAAAGCTCTCTGTTGTAAAATAGAGTGCCAGGAGAAACAGGCAGGTGGCGTAGTGGGAGTAATCATTTGCATTTTGCTTTCATACAAACATCATGAGTTTTTTTGAAACATCATTTTGAAACAAACATCATTTTGAGTATATTTAGTTGACTTTTTTTTTTACAGTGCCAATATAGTCTGTATGACTGATTGCTAATGCCAAGAAACTCACATATTATCATATTATAGACAAAATTAAATAAATTGCCCCATATTACTTTTGTTCTAAAGCCAAACTAAACTGATATAAAATATAATTTGGAAAATATGATACAACTTATTCCAATAAGATGACAGCTTCTTTTCTAACATAAAAAATGTGTAAGTTAGGTTCTATTTGACAACAAAATAAATTGAAAACTGTGATGAATCTTGTGCTTCCTTGTGTTTAGAAAGAACAGTAATTATTGCATATTTAATTTAATTACATCAACATTTAAACTTTGACATCTCAAAGATAAATGTTGTAAAATCTTTCTTTTTCTCCTCAAGTTTTCAGCGGATCCTACTGTAGCACCCACTTTTCTTCTCTTCGAGGTCCCGGGCCCCAGTTTCGAACCCTCTATGCTAAGCTAAAGGAGGTGAATCTTTTATTTATGCTCGTTGTATAAACGCTTGCTTGTGTAATGGAGCGTGGAAGAGTGAAGTGCAGAGCTCTCACGACACAATCACATTCATCTTTTTTATGTTGTGTTTACATTCTTAACTTTTTCCAAACGATGACTATACACAAACAGGCCGTGACAGAAAGTGTAAGTGGCTTTTTGACAGAGCCACACACAGGCTGCTTAGTGTGTGCAGCTCGTGCTCTGCAGCAGTCCCTCGGGTAGGCAGTTGCGATGAACTGGATGTCAACAGAAGCATAAGCGGCTGTCGAAGTTTGAGAGCTGCAGCACACCGGTGCGCGCCTGCCACGACCACGGGGGGGCGATCGAGGTCTTTCCGCGCTGCGCAAACGTGCCTCTCGCGGCGGAGCGCAGCTCCCCAATAACACGAGCACAATGGTCAACGGGCGAGACTGAGCGCCAGACAGATGCGCGCTGCGCAGACTTACCTAAGGCTATTACACATGGCATCCTAAAACTTTGATACATCTCGATTCTGACGCCGCTCGTGTGATTTATGGAGCCACGCAGCATGCTCTCGGTAGCAGCACCTGCTTTTTGGTGAGTGCGAGTCCAGGCTTAATGCAGCGGTGCATGGTTTTTTGGGGAGGGGGAGATGGGCAGGTGATGAGATCCTGTTGAATAAAGACCCGACGGCGAGCCGTGGCCAAAACTGTCATCCCTCGAATGCGATCACACCTGACTGTTTAGGTGTCATGTTCTGCGTTTGGTTACGTCGAGGAATATCTGAGCGAGAGGGAAATTTGGACAAACCTGGGATTTACATCCTCAGCCATCTCTAGCTTGTTATATTGAGGGTGGAAGCTGAGAAGACATCCTCATATCATTTCCTACGTCAGTGGCTCGAATAATGGAACGTGTGTGCATGAGAGGGCTGATAAATTGCGTGCGACGACTGTTTATAATTAATTGTCAAGGGATTTTGGATCAGTAATATCACGCGCTGTTTCCTGTTTCCTTGCTTGGCTGGCCTGTTACAACAAGGATGTGCCACAGTAGTATTGTTATTAATATCATTATCAATATGTAGCGTAGGTATAGTGACTTATGCTTTTGTTACTGCTTACTTTTTCAAAATGTTCTGCTCATGTTGGTGTAGGCTATCCATCCCAGTCTGCTTGGGCTACTTTACGATGAGCAGTTTGCATTCTACAACACGTTTTTCTTTTCTTTGCAGCTGTTGCTGGTGTCAAGCGGATTCAGTGATTCATTCATAGCCACCGAAGGGGCAGAGGACGAAACAAACCTACACCCCACCCCTCCCTCACAGTGAAGATGGGAACCAGCGAATTCATAGGCGAATAAAGTCTCTACCGATCACCTCAGATAACAGAGCTCCTCCTGCATTCAGTTTCCTTTTAGGCAGGCGCGCGCCGCGCACATGGATTCTAGAACTGTTGGACACCTTTTTCTCATAATGAGAAAATTATGATGATGATGATGTCACCAGAAGCGCGTCGCTTCGCCACAGTTGTAAAGTCCAATTACAATAAGTAAAAGTGCACCGAAAGAGCTTAAAGCAATTCCGAAGGCAGCGGACCTACAGTGCCAGTCAAGTGCATTTATGAACTTGCTGAGGCCGTCTTTAGCTCAACCTCGTTCCTCAGTCCGTTTTCCATCATTCTGAACGCTTCGTAGTTTGAGAAGATGGAGTTTGCTATGGTGGGCGCGGACAGCGGGGGCTGCAACACCCACCTGCCCTATGGATATGCCCAGGCTCGCGCCAGGGAGAGAGAGCGCGAGCGGGAGCGGCAGTCTCGCGCAGCGGCGTCGGTGGCGGCGGTAGCCGAAGCCGGAACGGTCGGAGAGGGAGGTGGGTCCAGCGGCCATCCCCACAACCATCCGCATCAGAGTCGCACCGCCTCTTCAACGAATGCCAACAACAGTAGCGCCGGGACCGCCTCGCGCCCCTCCTCCTCCTCCTCCTCCTCCTCCTCCCAACAGCCGCAACAGCAACAGCAGCAGCAGCAACACCACGAGCCGCTACAGCAACTTCTCCGAGAGCGAAAAAAGCAACGAGGCGTCGCGCGCTGGAGACGGAACCGCGCGGCACTCGGCGGGGATCTACGCCAATCAGAGTTGGCGCTCCTAGGATCCGAGGAGGACATCATGATTGAGGAGGACGAGGCGGAGGGCGAGGAGGAAGAGGAGGACAGGGGAAGCAAGAGATCGAGTTTTGTCTATAACATGGATGATGAAGAGGAGACGGTTTCGTTAACGGACAGGCGTCCTCAGTCAGGGTACGAAAATGTTTACCACGAGTATGGCTGCTGCGAGAGAGTTGTCATCAACGTGTCGGGCTTAAAGTTTGAGACCCAGCTGAAGACTCTCGCGCAGTTCCCAGACACTCTCCTGGGGGACCCTGAGAAGCGAATCAGGTACTTCGACCCTCTGCGTAACGAATACTTCTTTGACAGAAATCGACCGAGCTTCGACGCCATTCTGTACTTCTATCAGTCCGGGGGGCGCTTGAAGAGACCCGCCAACGTGCCGTTTGACATCTTTTCCGAGGAGGTCAAGTTCTATGAACTCGGGGAAGAGGCGATGCTCAAGTTTCGCGAGGATGAGGGCTTCGTGAAGGAGGAGGAGAAGCCGCTGCCCGAGGACGAGTTCAAACGCCAGATCTGGCTGCTCTTCGAGTATCCGGAGAGTTCAAGTCCAGCCAGAGGGATCGCGGTCGTGTCAGTGCTGGTCATCGTCATATCCATCGTCATCTTTTGCTTGGAAACATTGCCAGAATTCAGGGACGACAAAGAATTCCTCAGCCCAGGTAAAAACTCCACGCAGGCGGACAATGGATTTACGCCGTTCAACGACCCCTTTTTCATTGTTGAGACGGTGTGCATCATTTGGTTCTCGTTTGAGATCATCGTGCGCTTCTTCGCGAGCCCCAGTAAAGCTGATTTCTTTAAAAACGCGATGAACTCCATAGACATCGTCTCTATTTTGCCTTACTTCATAACTCTCGGCACAGACCTCGCCCAGCAGCAAGGCAACGGGCAACAGGCGATGAGTTTCGCGATCCTGAGGATAATACGACTCGTCCGCGTGTTCAGGATCTTCAAACTGTCCCGGCACTCGAAAGGTCTCCAGATCCTGGGGCACACTTTGCGCGCGAGCATGCGAGAGCTGGCGCTGCTCATCTTCTTTCTCGTCATCGGCGTCATCCTGTTCTCCAGCGCGGTGTACTTTGCGGAGGCAGACGAGCCCTCGTCTCAGTTCACCAGCATCCCAGACGCGTTCTGGTGGGCTGTAGTGACCATGACCACGGTGGGCTACGGGGACATGAAGCCCATTACGGTCGGGGGCAAAATCGTGGGCTCGTTGTGCGCCATCGCTGGTGTCCTGACCATTGCGCTTCCAGTTCCTGTCATCGTGTCCAACTTCAACTACTTCTACCACCGGGAGACTGATAACGAGGACCAGGCGCCCGTTGTGGAACAGCCTCCGCCGGGCTGTCCGTACTTTCCGGATTTCCTGAGAAAATTCAAAGGGTCCCCATCAGGGTCGTCTTTGGGGGACAAGGCGGCAGAGTACATGGAGATGGAGGAGGGCGTGACAGAATCTCTGTGCGGGGCTGACACGCAGAGCCCGAGCAGAGGGAACGGTACTGACTTAGGCGGAAAAAACAGTTCACAATCACGAACTCTACAGACAGATGTATGATTATGGACGAACGATAACCTCCTCGGGAGGTTTTCATAAAGATGACTGCACAAATGGATCAGTTAACAGCACACATGCACAACTTGAAGACATATACACAGTAGGCGCGTGCGCAAACACAACGAGACGCTCACACACACACACACACACACACACACACACTCGCTCTCATCAAGTTCTGGACCTGAGCTGAAACATTTTTGCAATGTGGCTACTTTTGTAGTGAGACATACCCTGTAATCACGTGACAGGCAACGCAAAAACCACCAGCTTTACGTGACGCGGAGAGGTGTCTATCTTTCGGTTCATTAATGAAGGCAACAAAAAGAACTTGCATAGGCACTTTATGAGTTACATTTGTCAGTAATTGTTGGGAAAAGAGGCGAGTTCTTCTTATCTAATGCTATTATGCAATAACGTTTAAATCGTTTGCACTATCATCAATTATGTTATAGTCTCCCAGTTTAATGCAGAGGAAAGTAACAAGTAACACTGAGGTAGAGAGGGAGGACATTGAAAAACGACTCAGCAATCATACTACGAGTTGCTTTATTAATTAATTCGAAATACTAGCAAACATACGCTGCAATCTTCTCGGATGAAAACCAATTCAGCTAAAAGTAATGAATTATTTTAACGTATTTGAATTATTATGATTAATTGGAAAGCAGCATGCTGCGTAACTTAAGGCAATGTTATCTTAAATCCCATTATGGCAAACATGTGTCCGCATAGCAGTATTCAGTATGTTCTACACTCTGGTAAAACCCCTTTTTAGCACACCCTGTGTAGTTCTTTGTGCATTGTCCACAGTGACTGAAGAGTCATTTATAGTCAGTCCCTTTTGTGAGTATTGGAAAACAAATCAGTCATGTTAGTTTTTGTTCATTAGCACAATATTTGAAACAAACACCATAATTCATTCTTTCAGAGCATCACAGTCACATTATGGCATACCGAGGCCAAAATAACCGGTTCGCATTGTCTCACAAAGTAAACACCTTGGACAACGACACCATGGCTTGAAGGATCAGTTTGGCCACAGTTTTCAAGTTGCTGTCATGGGAGTATATTTCAAGGGAATGCTTCATGCAACTATTTGTCTTCATCCCTTTACCAAATGACAACGCACCCCTTTATAAAAATGCTGGCGGAAATGTACAGCACGGAAGGGAACATGAACTTGGTGGACTTCATGCACAGCGAATTCTCGTCCTTTTGGAGTGCACGATGACCACTAAGCATGCGCAGTGCTTTTACGGATCCCAGGTAAGCGATTTCTGCGTTAAGAATTTGCTCAGTCACAGCAATCATGTTGTCATCATACACTCTCAGTTTTACGCAGCATCCAGGTGTTTACACATCTGCGTGGACCTACTAGTTGTCTGTTATGGCTAGGAACAGGTGTTCCACATGATCTCAGCATGCATGCGATTTCAACTCTCATGTTTTCTCGCTTTATAATAATATGTCAACAATGTCTTGAATTGCTTAGCAACAAGGGACTTATTGTCAACGAGACGACTAACTGTGCGGTGTTCCCTTGGAATCCAAAAATCCTCATTGTTCATTAAGTGTTCCGAGCTTCATTCTCTGATGTCATAATAGCTATTACCATTTTTTGTAGACAGGATAATTACCATTTAATCTCCAGTAAACCGATATTTTGTCATTAATAAGACATACTCTTAAGCACACGCTACAGGGAGATAACTATGGCCTCCCTCGGCCTGCTCATCTCTCACAACACAATTACTTGGCTAACGTGTAGGCTACTTGTGTGAAATATGCACACTCGATATTAGATTATCATAAGTGCCTTCTGTGTCATGTCAATCTAGTGCCTTGTGGGCTTGTTACAGGAAAAATGGTTGTGTAAGTTGATGAAAAATTAACAGACAACTGGCATTTATCAGCTGTTCATGCTGTCACCTCTATAAACTGTGCATACTATGTAAAGTATCCCTTTTCAGTAGGGATCCTCTCACAGTTTGTAGTAGATGCACTACTGATAACGAGTTATGTAATGACATTAAATTACAGGCAAACTGCTCTGCCTTTAAGTAAAAAAAAAAAGATCTTAATAGTAATAGTCTTATAGGGGTCATATGATGCGATTTACATTTTTCCTTTCTCTTTGGAGTGTTACAAGCTCTTGGTGCATAAAGAAGATCTGTAAAGTTGCAAAGACTAAAGTCTCAAATCCAAAGAGATATTCTTTATAAAAGTTAAGAGTCAACCACGCCTACCTAAAATGGCTCGTTCTAACATGCCCCCACATGTCTACGTCACTATGTGGAAATATTAGCATAATGCCGCCCAAATGTGCACGCAAAGAAAGAAGGCGTGGTTTCAGGAACAGCAGTAGTGTTGATGCAGCCATGTCAGGGAGACGCTGTGTGTTTCTGTGCGAAAGCAAAAGCACTTTATTTGGCCTTCCGGAAGTAGATGCAATTAGGAATCATTGGTTAAGATTTATTTACAACAGAACAGCACAACCCAGATGTTCGAATTTGTGCAACGCATTTTATGGAGCCAATCAGAGCAGACTGCGCTTGTCAAAGGAGGGGGCTTTGTAGAAAACGAAGCGTTTGAGAGAGGCGGGGCATAGAGGACCTACAATAATGTACAGTATTTGAAAAATAATGTGTTTTTTGAACATTAAAGCATGTCAACATATTCTGTTACACCAAATACACAAAATAATGATCTTTAAAATAGCATAATATGACCCCTTTAATGATTTTATCCATATAGTTCAACAGAGGTGATGCAAATCTTTTAATTCTAAAACATATTTACTTTGTTAATGTACGTTCCTGGTCTTGTTATGAACAATTCATTGGTACTTGTTATTAAGAATCACAATTTTCACCACATTTCATTATCAAAATAAGCTTGCTTTCCTTTCCTTTTCTGATGTCACTTAGTCTGCACAGACTATCGGATCATTATATTAATATATTAATATTAATACATAATATGAATACTTATATTAGGGAACTGTTTTAACAAGCTCATATTTGTTAAATCCACATCTAGTAAATTCTTGCTAGAAATAAAGTTTTCTAAGTTTACATTTTATTGGTAAATATCCTGCTTCGCTTGGAAATGCATCATATTATGGATTTAAAATGGGTTGTGACCAGTAATTTATGTTGATTTCAATATTCAGTATTTAAACACATTCTATATGCTGAAGCTATCTATCTATCTATCTATCTATCTATCTATCTGTCTGTCTGTCTGTCTGTCTGTCTGTCTGTCTGTCTGTCTGTCTATCTATCTATCTATCTATCTATCTATCTGTCTATCTATCTATCTATCTATCTGTCTGTCTGTCTGTCTGTCTGTATATCTATCTATCACATGCATTATTGTTCGATTTATCTTTTCATAATTATTGTTTATAATAGACTGTGAATGACCACTATGCAGTCAATCACCTTCTTACACATTAGAGGTAAAAATTATTTTCATTTTTATATGGTCTATTTGACTTACTTTTTTCACACAAATGCTTTTTGATACATGTCTCATGTTTTTGTTTGTAATGTTACGGTAGTGTATTGGCTGTCCCACTAATATAGTTACACAAATAAGAAGTGGTAGTGCGTAGTCTTTGTACAAAATCTTTATGTTTACTGTTGAAATCTGAAATGATATTCAGTGTAAATGAGGATATATTGATAGTCCTTAATCATTATGAGATCCCGCTTGCTGAGTCATGCAGTACTTTTGCACATATACGTGCAGGCACTCATATTCATGATAACCCAGGCTATTAAGCACTCTTTTACAGGTTAATGTTGCATAGCCTGTGGAGAGGTTTTACGCTAGCTCTGTCTTCATTTTTTTGCTGTAGTTCATATTGGATTGCACCAATACTTCACAGCACTAGTTATTTGCTGTGCTGAACATTTTTAAAACGTTTGGTGCTGGCTGTGAAGTAATGGCTGTTGCCCGTCTTGAGCTCTTTTAAGTTTCTCTTGGCTTAAACGTTGTTATTAATGATTCATTGCGTCCAAAAGATGAATCTGCTTCAGCTTCAGAGGATATTTTCTGAAAACAATCTGTTGTGCTGCAGTCCAGGCATTTGTAAAATGGATACCAAACTAAAAGTTGGCTTCTTTCTCAGACTTTATTATTATTTGGCATCCTTCTCTAAATCTGTCTTTCCCTTTTCTTTCTCGGTTCCTTCCATTTGCCTCTTCTTCTACAAGGCAGAAGCGTATCCCTCCACTTGTGGCAGCCTCCTTCACTTCTCTGTAAAATAACTTACAGAATCACACGCGTGTCAGAGAATGAAAAACAGAATGTAATTTCTGTGAGATCAGTGGACTCACAAAGCATGTTATTTATTTAAAGTGTAGGTCCATATGTGTGTGCTCGCTTGTCTGCGAGAGTGTAATAAATCAATAAAACCCTTCACCCACATCACCTTCATAAATATCAGGCTCAATGCCACAGTAAATGGATATTAAACTAGATTTCCTAATATCAATCACCCATGACTACGAAAGACATTTTGCCATATTGATAGATCAGTGTAACAGCACTCATTCCCATAACACTGACTCTCTGTAAATATCAAGACTGGCATTTGAGCAGTGTGGAGAGCCAGAATAATGTGGCATTAGTCCAACCGAAAGCAATCAGCATCACTCCACTCAGGGCATTAATTAGCTGCCGTGCGTGATGTGTGTAGTATGACACAGAAGTGTTGCTGTACTTAGCATGATCACCATACCCACACATACATTGGGGCTTAGTGGATGATGGGAAAATAAACAGCGCTATAGATTAGAAACTGAGTTGTCATGGCAGATTTTCACTCCATAATCCCCTCATCTTCTCTCAGTATTAACAACAGTGTTGCATGGGTTAAATCAGTTGGGCAAAATAACACTAGCTAGTTACCCTTATGTAACCTTAAAATAAAATGTTATTTCTGCTAAGTGTTGTCCTCTAAACCGCTGTTAGTGTCAAGTGCATTGTGTGGCCTCAAGCACAGGTGATGTGATGCAGCTGACAAATTGTTCTATGTAAAGAACATGTTTAACATCTTCATGACATAGAGGTACATGTTCATACTCTGAGGATCACAGGGCTTGCTAG